GGTGTCCACGCGTCACGCGTGAGCGTGGGATACTATAATATCCCACGGTGGATCTGCCGTGGGATATTATAGTATCTCACGCTGCATTGCGAAATCATGAATTTGAGTGAAATACCGTAAAAAATCACATTATCACGTGGTACAAATGCTGTTTTCTCATTGGACAATTTGAATTTGAGGTATAATATTATTTAACAATTATTTATTATTAAGTCCGAAGTATATATATATATATATATACTTACCAAAATCTCCATAGCCAATTACAATATCATAAACACCACTTCCAATCAGAGGAGGAGTGAGGACTATACCGGCATGCAACGCGGTCGTGCGCGTTTTTTTTTACATATCGATTTCTCGCTCTGCGCCGTCATTGTTCGGTCGGCTTTCGTTGTGTTTACACCTCGAGGTTTCAAGAGATTCAGAAAAGATTTATAGAAAAAAAATTGTAAAATGGTGCATTTTTGCACTATGCATGGAAAGAAAGCTTCGTTTTTTTTCTGTGTGTTCTGAGGTGTGTTCACTGTGTGTCAAAACAGCCTTTAATCTTAATTTCGGAAGGATTACCGTGTGATGAACTTGAATGTCGTGAGGTTCATGTTTATAATTCTACGGATAGTTCGAAGAATAGTCCTTTGTCCAGCTGTGGTTAACGGGATAAAAATTGATGAAATTGTTCGCTGATTGCGGTAGTCCTGCACTGGTTCAAATTCACTCTAGTTGTGTTTTTAAGGTGAGATGATTTTTATATTAAATAAAAATAGAAATGCTCCTATGTTCTATAAATACAGCAGTATTAAACGTATTTTTATTTTATATCATGTAGTTCTTCGATCCTAATGATCCACGGGAACGAGGTATAAACAAAGAATATAACAATATGTTATGTTGTGGGAGTTTGACATTTCAACATCACCAACATCCCAAGCAATCCCACCATGTGACCCAGATAATCAAGATGATGAGCTGGACAGTGTACTTCCACCAATAGAATTACATCAGCCAACTGATTGTAACTGTTTTAATTTACCAATAAATCCTGTTTGCCCTGACCACAGTTAATAGACTGAGATGGTTAGGAGAGTGGGCGGGGTTTACTAATTATGTTCGGTTTCCAGTTATTTCCGTCACGTGATCGGGAGAGTACACATGGCGACAAAACACAATAGAGTATTGTATTGCGGCGACTAGTTTCTTTTCGAAAAGTATTAACAAAATCTTTCTGAATTTGGGAATTTTACATTTTTTACCTCTGGCATGCAATGCCAGGTGCCAACTGCGCTTTGTATGGCTGTGGAACAAGTCGAAGGAGTCAGTCTTTCGCTGTTCAAAATACCTTTTCCTGCTCGAGACGACGGAGACGAAACCGTAAAGTTGAAGTCTGATGCTCGGAAAGAATGGCTAAGAGTAATTCTAAGGACACGAGAAAACACGCCAGAGTTGAAAAAAAGAATAAATGAAAATAATATATTCTTATGTGAGCTGCATTTCAAACCCGAGTTGATTTATCAACGTAAGTATCTCTTTATTTTCTTTGTTTTTGCGCAAATATATGGTAATTAGACACTTGTCTACATACATACATAAACATTGATCATGGGTAATGGCGTGCAACAAATTTATGTTTATTTCGTTTGTAGATGCCAAAAGAAAAACTTTGGAAACGGGTGCTGTTCCCACACAAAATTTGCCGTCGAAAAGCCACGACTCGAAGCCAAGTAGCCGACGCTCTCTAGTACGAGAAATTTCTGGCGAGACTCCTTCGACATCTGCTTTGCCGCCTGTTGATATCGAAGGTAAATCTGTAAATGTTGTCAACGAAAGTTTTGAAGAGCTTGTTCCACGGGTGAAAGAAAGTATAGCACTTCCATGGGTTATGAAAAAGTGCAACGACCTTGAAATAAGGACGGAACTTTGGGACAATAACTATTCGCTACCGAAGTTTGTTTTACACGTCGATAAATGTTTGCAATTTTCCTTGCATATTTTTAACTGGCTACTGCCCGACGAACACAGTATCTACACTGCTCATCGACGTCGAATCACCTCTGCTGGAGTTGTTGAACTCTTGCAATCTCTTCAAGACGATGACTTCTTGATATGCGAAGGACTACACCAACACGCTGAATACCTCACCACCATTGCAAAAGATCCTGATGACCAATCCCATCCACTCCACCCATCTGATGTTGTACGGCATTCTATCCCAAAGAGTGTAGAAATGGATACAAATTTTGGGGGTTTAGCTGTTTTTCGCTGTGTTACTTGTCAGGTTTTAGTTCGCAGACAAGACCAAGGTGACGTTATCTGTGAACCATGCAAACAACTACAAAGGAAAATTGTAGCACAGCAAAATCGCAGTACACGCCAATCGAGTGCCCCTGCTAAGGATAAAGCTCCCCTTACTCGTTGCAGTGCGGACAAGCTAAGAGGTTCAACAGTAGTGGAAAGTCGCGTAAAGTGTTCTTTGCTCGAAGCGAAAGTGAAAAGCCTCCAAGTTCAAATAAAAAAGGATTCAATCACAGTTAGTGAGACCCTTGAAAAGGATGTGTTGACAATCATGGGTGGACATAACTTAGAAAGCACACCACACATGAAGTTCTTTTGGGAACAACAAGTCCGCCTGCGGCAAGCCAATAAATTTGGACGGAGATTTCATCCTCAAGTAATTAGATTTGCATTGTCCATTCATTGCAAGTCTGCTTCTGCCTATAGAGAGCTGAGAGATAGTGGTGCCCTCATATTGCCCAGTGAACGAGTTCTTCGGGACTACAGAAATTATTTCAAACCTGGAGCTGGCATTACCAAAGAAAACGTTGAGGAGCTCAAAGAAAAAGCATCGAAGTTTTCTGGGATTCATAAGTATGTGGCAGTGATCATGGATGAAATGAAGATCCAAGAGAACCTTGTGTTTGACAAGACGTCTGGTGAGCTGATTGGCTTCATAGATCTTGGCGATCCTTTAACCACCTTTGCCAATACTGACGAAGAAACCCCAATTGCATCCCATGCACTGGCATTTTTGGTTAGGGGGCTTTGCACCAATTTGAAGCATGTAGTTGCCTACTACTTTACTGGCAATGTTACATCATTTCAACTACTTCCTTTGTTTTGGAAAGTGGTTGGAGTGCTTGAAACCACAGTAAAGTTGTGGGTAATTGCTGCTGTCAATGATGGTGCTTCCCCTAACCGGAAATTCTTTGCACTCCATGCCAAGCTTGGTGGCACACTACCCTGTGGTCTAGTGTACAAGACACCCAATCTTTTCGTTCTGACTCGGATGATATACTTCTTTGCTGATGTACCTCATCTTATCAAAATCACTCGAAATAATTGTCTCTACAATTCAGGATATGGATCACATAGTCGGTATGTAAAGTTTAATATATTTGAAAATGTTGTTCATTATTTGCATGAAACTGGTCTGCTTTTAACTGTTTATTTTATGATTGAGTTAGTTTTCTTTGGTGTATCACAGGATGTGTACTATATATACTGTATACTAGAGCATATTTGGATAGAAATTTCAGGAAAGAATAAAAACAGTAATGTATTATTGGGTGTTTTTTATCAGCCAGATTCCGATCCTGCTAGAAAAGTCTTGTGGCTTGAAAAATTTGAAACAATCTTAGCAGCAGTACATTCAAAATGGGATGGTATTTTGGCAATAGCTGGTGACATGAATATTGATTTAAAGAATTCTTCAACAACCGCCGATAAATATGAAGCAATATTGCGTTCATTTAATCTTAACCAGCATATTAAAGACCCTACTTGTAAGGGCAAATGGTTAATTGATCATATCATAACTAACATTCCACATAACGTTGTAGCAACTGGTGTTCTACCTACACCTGAAGTCAGCGACCATGACATGCCATATGTTATTGTCAATGCAAGACTAAGTAGATTTGAAACCAGATTTAAATATATACGAACAGTGAAATCGTTTTGTTCTGAAGAGTATTTGCGGGATATTAGCGAATTACCATTTTCGCTGGTATATGCAGTAGATGATCCAGACGAAAAGATCACTATACTAAATTAATTGCTCCGTAGTTGCATCGACCGACATGCCCCACTTGTGCGATGTAAGATAACTCGACCTCCTGTAGCCTGCGAACAGGCTCTCAAGCTGAATTGAGAGCCTGCATCGATGACTAATGAAATTGAATATCTGCCCCGTAACGTTCGTTTTTCCAAATATGGA